GCAACAGATCCTCCTATACACACATCCATGTATGCATTATACTTAATGCAGAAACTTTGGAAGTATTCTTTCTAAAGTCAGTAATAAAAAGAGGATGCCCACTAATCACTAATGTTTAAATTGTCCTGTCTAAATATTTAGTCAGTGTAACCTGAAGGAGAAGTATAAAAATCCAAAGGAAGAGGTAAACCTATCACTATCAGCAGATAAAAATGATTATAACCTAGAAACTAGGAAAGTCACTTAAAAAACTACTATAAACAATAATGGAATTCAGTAAGGCAGAGAGAAATGTCAGTATATAGAACTTAAAAGCCTTCATGTATATAAACAATAACCAGTTAGAATCTATAAACTCATTTAGTAGCAAAAATAAGGGGGGAAATGTCCAGAAATAACAAGAAATGTACAAATTTTATGTGAGAAAAACTTTAATACATTCCTGAAGAAAACAAAAGTAATCTTGAACAAATGCAATAACATACTATTTCATTTGACAGAAAGATTCAATATTTAAAAAAAAAAACAATTTGTCCTAACTTAATTTATAAATATGAGATCTCAGTAAAAATAATACCCCATCCTCCACATCTATTGGATCTAGACAAGGTGTTTCTAAAGCTTATATGGTAATAAATAAAAATGGCCTAGAAAAACCTGAAAAAAATGAGACTAGTGCTTTTAGATATTAAAAGTCATAAAAGAAATTATTGATCACTACTTTTAAGTGTTTGTGTGTAAAGACACACACGCGCGCGCGGTTAAATTTCTATGTGGCAAAAACAAAAAAACCCAAGACTGTAGCAAAGGCCAAAAGACAAGTAACAACGAAGGGATATCATCTGTAATTCACATCTCAATTGAGAAAGCTCAGTAAATGAGGAGACCAAACATCCAACAGAAAAAAAAGGGCGAAGGATACAAACAGTTAACAGAAAAAGAAACGTGGCCCTTACATATGTGAAAATGTTCAAATGGAAAACAAAAGCACATAGTGAAACTATTTCTTGTAAATCCGATTGACAAAAATCTAGTTTGACACCTGTAGAGGCAAAGGCGTAAGGAAATAGGTAGTCTCAATCACTGATGCAAAGTAAGTATTTACAATCTTGGTAGAGGGCAATCTGGCGATAACAATAAAAATTACAAATACATTTGCCCTTGACTCATCAATCTCACTCCTGGAATCTATTTAAGATAGATTCTTAAAAAAACAACATATATATACTAGGGGCCCGGTGCATGAAATTCGTGCACTGGGTGTGTGTGTGGGGGGCCTGTAGGTAGAAAGCCAGTTGTTTTAAAGCTCACCTTGAGCACTTCCCTTTTCTCAAGGATCACATCCCTGTACTGTT